CGATTTTATTGGCCGCGTCGACGGCGACACCACAGACCGCACCTGGTTCCCTTTCTGTGCGTATGACTGCATCAATGCTGCAGAAAACGAAGGGATGTCTGTGGTTAATCGGGACTTTGACGTGTGTTACGCTGGTATGTGCCAGAACGTTGCCGCCCGGGCTTGTTTCTGACAGCTGAACAGTGGACGGCGGGCTCTTGAACCTTGTCGCTACCGTCAATGCTCTTCCATCCGACTACTGCGGCAGATTTCAGGCCCTCCTTAACAACGTCAAACATATTACTTCTGCCAGGGACGCGGCCATCCTTCACTGTCTGCTCGACCCGACTCTCGACCTAGAACAGGCGGCGGAGCTATGTACCCACCTACTATACTTCTCTTCATTGACACCCGCGCAGGCTAGCGTACTGCGTTCCCACTTCGAGTCACTCTCAGACAGCATCGGCAACACGCAGTCGTCGCAGCAGGACTTCCATGGCGGGAATCTCCGAGTGTGGCATCACGCGTTGGAGCCGCTCAAGGACCTGATGAACTCCACGTACACGCAAGAGCAGGCGCAGAAAAACATGCACAAGGCAACATACTGGGACGGGCAGACACAGTATCTCGAGCCTCGCATATGGTCCCTGAAGCCGTCGCATCGCCTCGCCTCGATCAAGCTTCGCAAGGTTGGCGTCTTGCTGCCTTTCGCAGTGCCAACGGACGCGTTTACTGAGCCGAACAGGCAAGTCTCACTCCAGCTCTGTTGCGCATGAGACTTACCTTTGCGCGACAGGCTTATGTTCGACAAAGACGGCAAGTGGATCAACGCCAGCGTACTACGACCGTACGTGACCTGGGACATGCGCGAGGTGCTGCCCTCGGGTGCGAAGCACGGCTGCCACGAAGACGACCTTGCCGGCTGTCTCTTTTTCCACTCCAAGGACCAGCTCGCCGAGTTCGCCCGGCGCGCACGGGCGTGGGGCGTCCGCGTGTACCTCACGCACCTCGACACGGGCGAGCTCTACCAGCAGCTCGCGAGCGCGGACCCCGCCTTCGCGCCGTTCGCGCTCGGGCGCTTCGACCGCGTCGACCTCCCGCACCTCGTCGATCAGCTCCCAGACAAGCGCGACGTGGTCTTCGAGCACTTTGGCGCGCTCCTGAACCGCGCGAACCCACACGCGACGCTGCTCGTGCGCACGATCGAGTGGCGCTACCTGTACTCGGACCAAATGCGCCTCGGGCGCCCCGGCGCGCGCGCAGGGGCGAGTGCGGGTCCCCCGGACCCGGTGCACATAGAGGCGCTCGTACGCAGTGCTTCGGCGTATCTCGTGAGTGCCGTGGTGCCCTTCATGTATGCGCGGGATTTTTGGGAACTCACGCCGCCGCTCGCGCAGAACTTTGACCCGGACAACTTGGAGCGCAGGATGGAGCAGGTCCTCATGTTGCACCTTCTAGACGCGTGGAGCGACAACCAGCCTGTGTTCGAGGAATACTTGCAAGAGACACGCATGAAGGGTATCTTGGAGGACTGCGGCCTGCGAATCAAGACGCGGAACACGCTCGTGCCCCCGGTGCGTGCACAGTTTTATTTCATCGGCGACGTTATTGCTGAGGAGCAGTATAGAGGCTCGACTGGCTGCTTTCGGGGAAGCCGGAGACGCTCCCAGGACTATCGAAGCACGATTGGTACTTGCTAGGTGCGGGATCCGACGCGCCTCTCATATGCGGCGGCTGATCGCCTTTTCAAGCAGCCTGTGTCGGCGGGCATGACTTCGTGCACAGGGCTTTCGAAGTTGCCGTCAGGCAGTAGTGAGCGAGCGATTTGGACTTGATACCCGGATGTAAGCATATACCCCAGCAGATGGCAGCTTTGAGCGAGATACACCATGTTTCTTCATGTAGTAATTGTAGACAAAGTAAGTAAACACAAGCGCATGGTCAGTAATGGATTTTTCACGTAATAAGGACAAAAGTAGAGATGAGTAAGAAAATAATGGAAAGCCAGCTTCGGATACTTTACTTACCTGGTAACGAAATTAGGCGCTTGTCATTATCCAGTTTAATTTTTCTTGTATCATTCAACGCCCACAAATTGTCGAGTCGTTCTGAGCCTTCGAGCCAATCAGCCCTGCATCGCGTCAGTAACGACTCCGTCGGCCAAGTGAACATCGCCCTGGGAGCGGAGTATGCGCTCTTCTATACTCGCTGCCCACAAAATCAAAGCAAATGTGGAACCATGCGCGTTCCCCAATATTGCTCTAAACCGTCCCCAGACGTTTGCTACTCACATGAGCAGCACAGGAAATTGCTAGTCCGACGTTTGACGGTCAGATGCTCAGCTTTTCCCGAGGTCAGTGGCCATAGTGGAGTGCCTCCTACAGGCAGCCTACACGCAGGGTGGCATCGGCGTTGACAATTATCCAACTCCAGGATTCCTATCATTCCGTCTGCAGGACAGACGTCGCCTGCGTTCGGGTCCAGTGATGGGACTTTGCATAAAAAGCCGCAGCCCGACGACCCTCTCTCGGTGTCGCCTCGACATGAACGTCAAGTCTCCCGGGGAGTATGAAGAGCTGCTTCCACAGCCAAATACTACCCTGGTCAGACCATCTCCGTGGAACCAGCGGCTGCGCATTGTAGCTGCCTTTTTCGCCGGCATTCTCACTTGCTTTTCAGTATTGAGCTATGTGCGCCAGCCATCTTGTGCCATCGACCAGGCTGCCCCGTCCGGCGCCGTCGAGCTGTATGCTGCGCCATGGGCTGGCTCGTCTGAGGTGCACCACTACCCCCCTGCATCCCCGACCAACGTCAACCCATCGCTCTTCCCCACGTCTGTCGGCTACGCCGGCACCACGGCGACGGGCGCGGAGCCTGCGATTGTCGTGACCGTACCGTCCTACCCGGTGCACACTGGCGCGCCCAACCTTGTTGCGCCATCATTCAAAGGTCACCGAAATCACACGTCTTCCAAATTCGATATTTTCAGGTACTGGGGCAACCTCTCGCCGTGGTTCAGCGTCGAACGCGGCGCGTATGGCTTGCACTCGAGCCCGGAGGTGCCCGACACGTGCCGCATTACTGGCTTGCATCTTCTCCATCGACACGGTGCCCGGTATCCCACCAAGTTTCGTGAGACTCATGTATGCGTGTGCAGAGCCCATCGTTAACCCCGGTATCATTGACTCTGGTGCAGCGCAATATGGTGGAACCGAAGACTTCGCCGCTCGTCTTAACAAAGATGCGGCCCATTGGGTAGCTAAGGGACATTTAAAATTTTTGAATACGTGGTGAATCGTATATCATTTCAATGTTGATATGTGTCCTCATTTTTCACGCAGGACGTACAAGCTTGGCGAAGAACGTATGTCTTTTCGTGACATTCTCTCAAATAACATGCTAATCTGTCGTAGTGTTGACTCCCTTCGGACGTCAGCAATTGTGTAGGTATTAGTTAATCCGATGCAGCTGCATCTTACTGTTTTGGCAGATGACCTCGGTGTTTCTACGCGCCTGAAGTACGGCTTCCTCCTGAAGGTATGTCTGATTACTCGCACGTACACGTGCCGGACTAACTCTCCAATCACAGAATTTCTCCGAAAACAACGCCATTCCTGTCTTCCGCACGGAGTCACAGTATGCTTTTCGTGTTGAGAGGAGAGCTGCGCATCATTTGACACGCATATAGGGATCGCATGGTTGCTTCAGCATTGAATTTTGCCATCGGCTTCTTTGGTTACCCCTTCGAGGGCCAATACCAGCAGAGTGTCACCATAGAGAACCTTGGGGTATGCCAACTGGTCCTTACACATTTTTCACCTTCCAGGAAACTCATACGCCTCATCATCTAGGTCAACAACACCCTGGCACCGTACATGACGTAAATCACTTCGCCTCTAGATTATACAACAGCTAAATAAGAACGCTACAGATGTCCTAATTTCATGCAGAAGGACAAGGGCGATCGCGGCACCTGGTACGTGCGCAATTGGGCTAACAGGTACCTCAAGCACGCGCAAGTTCGCCTCGGACGGCAAATGCACGGCTTCAACCTGACAATCGAGGACCTATACACTATGCAAGAGTTGTGCGCGTATGAGACCGTCGCGATCGGATACTCCAAATTCTGCGAGCTCTTCATCGAGGAGGAGTGGCGCGGCTTCGACTACGCGTGCGTCCGCGTCCCTGTTTCCGCATCGCATGCATTCTGCTGACATGCGTTCAGGGTCGACCTGGGCTTCTGGTACAACGTCGCGTGGGGCTCGCCGCTCGGGCGCGTGCTCGGCGTCGGGTATGTCCAGGAGTTCGTCGCACGGCTCACGCACACGCCGATTGCGACACACAACTCGTCGACGAATGCGACTATGGACGACAACACGACGACGTTCCCGCTTGGCCAGAGCCTGTACGTCGACGCGACGCAC